GCACCTGTGCTGCAGGTGGTCAGCTGACCTCGGCCTTGCAGGTGCACATGTTTCCTGCCGCTGCTTCAGCTGAGCAGGCAGGTTTCAGTCGCTTCACTTCAGGCTTCACACAAACGTCCACCGGGCTGGCTCTGGTCCCCGGACCACATGTTGGACACCTGTGTATGACAGGTTTGATCTAAGAGCAGAGATGATTCTAGTGCTTCCAGTGCTCACCTGTACCTGCAGGCGATGCAGGTACAGGTGAGCATCATGTCTGCGATGAGCAGATACGTGAACAGAAACCTGCTGATTGGTCGTAGCCGGGGAGCCCCGCCCTGAGCGTGGAGGAGAAAGACTGAGCTGGTCTGTCAGTTACAGAGCCTCAGCTTCTCAAACCCTCGTGCGGCGCTCAGACACAGCGTGATGTCATCTGATAACCTGTTTGGTTCGAGGTCCCTGCCAGAACGCCGCTCATGCTCTGAGTTTAGATCATAAATGAAAGTCGGCGTGAAACATAACGGATGATTTTCAGTGAGTGATGATCTGTTTGTGCTTCCTCAGGGGAGGAAGAGGCAGAGGAGGTCACTGACACCGCAGACAAAAAGAAGAAGAAGGGCGTGAAGGCCGGCACAGGAAGCTGTGAAGCATCCAGAGAAGAACTGGCAGCGCCTCAGAGCGACACGGCAACACCTGGCAAGAAAAAGAAGAAGAAGAAGAAGAGGAAAGCTGAGGGAACCACAGAGCAGCCAGAACAGAAGCAAACGGCTCAAGAAGCGTGGACGCTGTCAGGAACCCTCCACTCTGAGGCAGCGCCGCCACCTGACCACCAGGACCAACCACAGAAGAAGAAACAGAAAAGCACAGAGACTCCTCTCACAACAGAGCCGCAGGTTTCGTCTGCATGCGCTCCCATATCAGAGAAGAAGAACGGCGTAACGGCAGATACGGGAAGCTGTGAGGCATCAAGAGAAAACGTGAGCGCGCCGCCGCCTCAGAGCGACTTTACGACTCCTGCTAAGAAGAAGAAGAAGAAGAAGAAGAAGATGGCTGCTGAAGCAGCGCTGCCTGTTAGTGTGAGGAGCTCAGAGTCGGATGAGACACCTGCAGCAGGAAGTGACGCTGTAACACCAGCAAAGAAGAGCGTCCCAGCTGATGAAGAGCAGGCAGCTGAGGCGCCACAGCTCACCAAGAAGAAGACAAAGAAAAAAGGAAAAGAGGAAATGACCGCAGGCGTGACCGCTGCTGAAACACCACAGAAGAAGGATCAGCAAGAAGCTCCAGAAGAGGAGGAGGTCCAAAAGGAGGCTAGGAAGACACCAGGGAAGAAGAAGAAGAAGAAGAAGAGTGTGACACAGGAGGCCGCTGAGGCGCAGGTTGGGGGTAAGGCAGGTGACACGGTGGCGTCCTTGGACAGAGAAACTCCCACAAGGAAGAAGAAGAGGAAGATCCCCGTGGTGTTCGAGTTCGAGGCCGACGAGCTACAGACCCTGAACGGCATCGCAGCAGAAGAAGAAGAGACCGCCACCAAGAAACCTCGACGCACCAGCGTGAGTGTCTGATGAGAGACGTGGTCGAGAAGCCGCGAGGTGATCGCTCTCTAACCCGATGTTCTGTTTCAGGATGACGTGGCCACGCCCCCGAGCAACAAAACACCACAGAAGAAGAAGAGGAAGAGCGCCGGAGGGTCACAGTCGGACTTCATCACGTTTCAGAGCAACGCCAAAGCACCAACGCCGCTCTTCTGTAAGACTAAGGCAAGCCCGGGCACGCCGGCGTCCAGCAGGAAGGTGAGCAGAGAGAACCTCAGACAGGAAACAGTTCGGTGATGTCACAGCTGCTTCCTCTCTGAGCCACTCCCAGATCTCCAACCGCTCAGACAGGAAGTGGTTCACACTGGATAATGAAAGAATTCACAGACATGTTGATCTCTGACTGCTGATTCGTTTTCCACAGAAGCTTCAGACGCCAAAGTCGGACTCCAAGAAGGTGACCTTTGGCCTCAAGAACAACAAAACAGCCGGTAAGAAACTCGGCGTAGGTTATGGTTCTAAGATTACAGGTGTTTTCAGCTTAATGTCAGAGTGCAGTTGGACTGTGAAGCTCACCCGATGCAGGGCTCAGTGGTGCAACTAAAAAAAA